AATAAAGGCAACATTGCTTGGAAATCACTCTTCAAGGCTCAAACATCCCTGTAAAGAGGTGAAGTGTTTGTCCCCATGAAGCTGTCTGTCTTCGAAAAACCTTTCACTCGTGTTGCTTGGATCTCTGGGGCCTTTGGCACGCAGCGATGGCTGCGGCTGGCAACACCGTACTAAGCCCTCGCAGCTCGAAAGCAGCGGTTCCTCTCTCTGGCTGGTAAAATCTATACTTAAAACAAGATGCTTCCTCCTTACGCTACTAACGGTGCTGTTTAACATCTTTGTTGGTGACATGGACAGTGGGATCGAGTGCACCCTCAGCAAGTTTGCTGACAACACCAAGTTGTGTGGTGTGGTGGACAGGCTGGAGGGAAGGGATGCCATCCAGAGGGACCTTGACAGGCTGGAGAGGTGGGCCTGCGAGAACCTCGTGAAGTTCAGTAACGCTAAGTGCAAGGTCCTGCACATGGGTCAGGGCAATCCCAAGCACAAGTACAGGCTGGGCGGGGAATGGATTGAGAGCAGCCCTGAGGAGAAGGACTTGGGGGTGCTGGTTGATGAGAAGCTCAACATGAGTCAGCAATGTGCGCTGGCAGCCCAGAAAGCCAACCATGTCCTGGGCTGCATCCAAAGCAGCGTGGGCAGCAGGTCAAAGGAGGGGATTCTGCCCCTCTGCTCTGCTCTCGTGAGACCCCACCTGCAGTGCTGCATTCAGCTCTGGGGTCCCCAAAAACAGAAGGACATGGAGCTGCTGGAGCGGGTCCAGAGGAGGCCAGAAAGACAAGCTGAGGGCTGGAGCACCTCTCCTGTGAAGAGAGGCTGAGAGAGTTGGGGTTGTTCAGCCTGGAGAAGGGAAGGCTCCGGGGAGACCTTCCAGCAGCCTTCCAGTACCTAGAGGGGCTACAAGAAAGCTGGAGAAGAGCTTTGGACAAGGGCATGTAGTGACAGGACAAGGGGCAATGGCTTTAAACTGAAAGAGGGAAGATTTTGATGAGATCTAAGGAAGAAATGGGCAGGGACACCTTCCACTACACCAGGTTGCTCAAAGCCTCATCCAATGTGGCCTTGAACACTTTCAGGGATGGAGCAGCCACAACTTCTCTAGGCAACCTGTTCCGTGCCTCACCACTCTCATTGTAAAATGTCTTCCTTAGATTTCATCAAAATCTCCCCTCTTTCAGTGTAAAACCATCACCTGTACACTATTTAGAAGTCCTGAGCATGGAGATGCTGAAAGGGGAAGCTGGAAGTCTCTATCTCAAGTTCGAGCCGGATCTGCTCCTTAATGACTCCTCCTTTATTCTGCTGCTGGAAATCTTTCCAAGATTAACATGCATGCACAGGCAGCGTGAGAGCAGCAGCCAGGTATCACCTCCCCACTCAAACCCTACTGCAGCCTCTTCCACCTGTTCAGAGAAGAGATTTAATCCAAATTCCTTTCCCCTTTTCTTCCTGGTAAGCACGGAATTAGCAGTGGCACTCACTGGTGAGGTGCAAGCAGCACCACGCCCGGGGATTCAGCAACCGCAGCAACGCTGCGTCCAGGAGGGCTCTCGCCCTTGCTGCAAGGGAGTGGAGCTCAACCGCTGGCAGGGCTTGGTGGTCTGGGCAGTTTTTAATTCCTTGAGTATATCGTGACTTTGCCAGATGCTGTAGACCATTTGAATGACGTACCTTGATGGGTGCATCAGTGCTGCGTAAATGCTGCAGGGAGGCGCTCAGAAGTTAAGCGGTGGTTGCAATGTCATGGTTGGCGCTGGTAGGGTCACACTCTCCAGGTTCTTCTGTCTGGGGAAGTTCTCCTAATGCAGCACTAGAGACACAACCACTTGCAGAAAGCAAGTTTTTAAGCTTGCACAAACAAAACTTCTCACTTCCAACCTTTGTTTTTTGCTGCGATACTATTTAACACGAGATGGGAGCAATTTTTGCTGCTCAACCCCAGCACCAAGGTGCTTTAAATTAGAGGGTAATCTACCTACATCTGTTCCAGGGGCAGCCTTGAACGACTACACACACAGCTTTACATTAAATTATATTTGTGCCCAGTCACTTTGAGCTCAGTTCAGGGCCAGAATGTTTTATCAGAGACTCCTGTGCAGCTGAGGAATCTTACTGATTTTTTAGTAAATTATGCCGTCACAAGAGATCTATATCTAAGTTAAAGTTTTAAAAAATCAAATACATTCTGTAGCCCTGTTTATCTCATTATCCGTGAAAGATTCAAAGATCCAACACAGCTTCATGCTTTGCTCTTGATTAACCTTTTGGCCCAGGACATGCTACACACATTGCTGCGTCTCATTTTGCTGCGATTTACTTCAATAACCTTCTGGCGTCGGGTGCTTTGATCATGGATCGTGCTGACGCACGTGTGCTGTTCCTCGCAGTCCAACGGTGCTTGGACCCACTGCAATTGCGAGGGGGAGGCACCCAAATCTGCACCTGTCTG